AAGTTTTCGAATTTGGCTTTGAAAACTTGCCGCAAATTTGCAGAAAATGATTGTGCTATGTGGGAATATATTGAAATTTAATATCTGTGCGTTGCGCAAGCGCAACGTCTAAGGCGCCTACAATAAAGAAAAAGTGAGGTTATATAATCACCCTGTTTTGATGTGCGAGCATGAAAATGGAAAAACTTACGTCGTAACTGCCAGCAAAAATTAATATTTTTTAAGTTCATTAACAAAATTAAGCAAAAAATTAAACAAAATTACAATAATTTTGCAAGGAAATTATTTTATTAAAGTTTTAAAGTGGAGTAATTTGAGTTTCATTAGTTCACCGCGGCCACTAGAATTGGCGCCACCTCCTTGACCACTGACACATAGACCCAACTTGTATGTGGTTTTTCCCAAATGCCCATAATAAAACTAAAAAAACATGTTATAATATTCTTTAGTAGTAATGTCGCGAGTATATAATTCAAATTTATATATGACATACGAATTAATAAATATTGACTACAATTTCATGTGTTTTTTTAGAATTTTTCTTGCAATGACTGCTATAATTCTACTATTATTATTATTATCATTTATAAATATTAATTAACAAATTATGTATTATATCTGTAATTATATTATAGAATAAATTAATAATTATTAATGCACTAATAATGTAATTATTTGGTAATAATGAATAGTAAATTATATGCGCTGTTTGTCGAATTTTGAAATTTTAGGAATTTGATTATATGTTTAAGAATTTCTGTCAAGTTTTGAGCTCTACTTTGTGGTTTTCAGAAACCAAATGTTGTTGTTTTACCGCAAGATTTAAAAATAAGGTACATTTAACCTATAAATTTGAAATGACGTTTGCGTATATTTTAGATAGTAAAATTAAATATCCAAGATACTTGTCTTACAGTTCACTTTCATATAGATATTGAATTTTAACATCCTGGATATTATAGGTTAATATATTCTGTCCAATATATTTAGATAGTGAAATTAAATATCCAAGATACTTGTCTTATAGTTCACTTTCATAGATATTGAATGGTAATATCTAGATAGTAAGCCTTAATATCCATTTTTCTCAGTGTGGATGTATGCGATTGGCTTGGATAATCTGTAAAATTCTACGTAAATATAATTAATCATCAGTTATTACTAAATCATATTCATTGCTATTTTCTCGCTCACATTTCCTTATTATTATAATTATTATTTTGTAGAGGTGTGCAAAAAGCCCGAAACCCGACCGGGTAATTTCGGGCTTTTCATTTTTCGGGTCGGGTCGGGTCGGGTCAGGCTTAGTCAGTTCGGGTTCGGGCCGAGCTCGGGCCGGGTCGAGCTTGTTTACATACCCGAAATCTTTCGGGTACCCGACCACATTCGGGTTCTCGAAATTTTCGGGTACCCGACTACATTCCGGTTCTCGAAATCGCTTAAGCATGCGTTAGCCAAGATCAAATCAAGATTATTTATTTTTGTAGTGAGCACAAAAATAGGATGCCAAACTTGATCGCATAGTTCTTTAAGAATTTAATTATAGTTAATGGTAACCCGAAATTTTCGGGTGACCCGATTGCATTCGGGTTCTCGAAATTTTCGGGTACCCGATACATCGAGAAAGCTCGAGCTCGGCCCGACCCGACTCGAAAAAAATTCGGCCCGACCCGACGTTTCGGGCTTTTTGCACACCTCTATTATTTTGTTTATTCAAAATATTAGACTTAACTAAAGAAAGAATAAAATTAATTATTACAACTGAAAAACCGATTTACTTTTATTAGCAATAGTTAATTTCATCATTTTTCATTGATTTGTAACAAAAATCGTCTTCTAAGCAATTCTTCAACGATTTTGCTTGAAAACTAATTTTAAAAATTTGCCGAGGACTGAATCCGTTTTGTTTAATTTACCAAAAGTGATTTCAGATTCGTAATCAGCGACCGCAAAAACCCTCGAGTGACAATTTTTGAGAGAATTGCACCAAATTCGAAATTTTTTTCCGCCGTGTAACAAATTTTATGTTAATCTAATCAAATCTGAATTTTATCCGACAAATTGGATCCGTCATTTTGAATTTTTAAAAAGTAACCTCAGATTTGTAATCAGCGATTTCAAAAACCCGCGAGTAACAAGTTTTATGCGAATCTGATCAAATTAAAAAATTTTGAAACAAATTATTTATTTTGTTTGTTACCATTTATTTATATATAACGCTATATTGTCTTAAAAAATGTTTGATTAAAAAAGGCCATACGGCAATAGAAACTACATATCACAAGCTGTATTTTTTCAAAAAGAATAGTCTTTTATTTTTAAACTTATTTTGGGCAGAGGGGGTTGTCCATTTTACAGAGAATGCCCCTTATATTTTAGAAATGAGGGTGAAACTGAAGTTGAAAAAAATCCTATGTTAAAGTAAAAGTGAAAATAAAAGTCCGTGAATATGAATGTAAAAAGGAAATATCGTAATCGTCCGCAAGTCATCCTAAAAATCCACAAATAATATATGTTTAAGGCAATCTGGACATTTTTAAAAAGGTTTATATTTTGTTGCTAGACAAAATTTTTTAAAAAGTTTTAAATATTTTTAAACATGTTATTGTGAATGCTAAAAGAAATTTGTTTATTAGTTTAACATGTTATTTTCGAGAACTAATTTCCATGACATTTTACTTTAAATTTAAACAAAGTAATATTTTTCAATTATTTAATGTCTTGAAAATTTTATTTTCGAGAAAATAACTTTTTTTATCTTATTATTTTTTACTTGTAGCACAACCTTGAATTCTAATACAACATTTCTGTCATTTTCTAATCTTAAATTTTTTTAAAATAAATGTATGAAAGTATTAAAATTATTCTACATTTATAAACATAATAAATAGTACGCACTAATAGTAATAAAATGATTTTGTAGGAATTATTTAATATATTAATATGACTCTAGTGATCTGTTTTCAATTAATTTTATCAGCCAAAGTTTGATTAGAACAAGTAAGATTCTATTGCCATAAAATTTTTTTGGTTATTTAAATACAAAAAAAAAGGTTTGATTTAAAAACCAAACATTTTACTCAGTGTAATATTTATGATTATTTACTAATAATTACATATAAGTCATTTTTTAAAATAAATATTTCGCATATATTCACTTGCGTCGTTAGATTTAAATCAATTAAAATTTATCTTTAAACATGGTTGAAGAACACGTTTTTAAATAATACTTTTACAGTTACATTGAAAAACATAAAAGTTAGTGGTATATAAGGAAGTGTTTTGTGGACATTTCGTATTGTGAAATATTCAACGTTGCTGTAAATTAAAAGCGAAAATGAAAAGTTTTTCAATTCTGCCTTTCATTGTCAGTTACATTTATATAATATCTTCTGACGCAGCTTACTCTGTAATTTTTGTTAATTTAAAGACATATTGTACTTTTATAAAAAGACATTCTAAATTAATGAATTCATATGCTTATACAAAAAATACTTACCTCCTACAGCGTTGTGTTTTAAAAAATTCCTTGTTTTGAAACTGAATAATATTTTAACTATAAGATAAAAAGCAGAAAAAATATTTTTAAGCGTATGTATTCCTAAGATTTAGAATATCTTTATTTAATATAATCATACAAAAATTGGTGATATTTGTAATATAGAATAATACCTCTATAAAACAACAAATAAATGATTTTGAATGTGCCTTGACAACTATTTCTTTTTTGAAACAGTAACTAACATATCACATTTTGTTTTTTCGTTTACAGTCTGCAGAAATAAAGGTAAAAATAATATAATAACAATATAAAAATGATCAATTCGTTTCTCAATATTTAAGTACTTGCAGGCGTAAATTGTACTTTTATAGTTAATGTGTTTATAATTAATGTGCAGGGGTTAAAAAAATTTCCAAAAAAATTGTATTTTTAAAATTTTTTTGTCAAATTTGTCAATTGCTGCAATCTTTGTATAAATTATTAAAATTTTCAGTTATGTACCATTAATCGTAGAATTTAATAATCTTTCGAATGGTATATTTGTTAATTTTCTGACATTTGTATTTACAAACAAATCGTGATTTAAAGATTGGTATGTTTTTGGGCCGTGCGCGTGCAGCCGTACCGATAATTCCCGACGGTAGTGTATAGTTTAAAAAATTTCCATGTTTCCCTTTTTGAAGTGTGAAAAAAATTATTACATTTCACTATAATTAGGTACAGTAAAAAATTTAAACATTCGCCCATAATGGCTTAATAATAAATAGAATTTCTTTTAAAAAGCTTAACGTATATTTTTTCTATAAGCTTACAATTTACACACATTATGAATCTTAAGTTTCAATATCGGTAAAAATATAATTAAGGTTCATATATAATTTTTTAAATTTATTTTTCAGAATGAGATAGAAGAAGTAAGTACTTGATAAAAAAAATGTTTATAATTATGAAGATTATTTTTAATATATTTTACATACACGTTGCATATTTTATAAACGTTTTTAGTTATTATTTTATAAATTAATGTGCTTACATTCTTTGTTTGTACTTTTTTAGAATAATAAAAACATAGTAAGTATATCTTTTCAGAAAATAAATATTATTAATTTTTCATCCTTTCCTAAAATCTGTGAGAAATGTTCTCACAACTTTGCATACTGTTCGGAGCATATGAAATTTTAATAAAAATTAAAAATTTCTACTGCAAATTTGTAGCAACTGGCCATGAATCAAAATTTAAAAATCAATAGTTTGAATCAAAAATTTAATAATGCTGTGCATAATTCTGATGTTTTTAAAGACTTATCTTTTAGCAATTCATTATATTGTATTTTTTAGACTAAAATAAAAGATGTAAGTATATGTAAAGTTAAAAATATTTATATCCGATTGAATACAGAGAAATTTCAATAAATGTTACAAATATAATTAACATGTTTTCTGAACACTTTTTATTGTAATCTTAACAATTAACACTTCTTTCATTTTTTTCTTTAAGATATATAAAGAAAAGGTAAGTGCAATATAATTAAAAAGTATATATTATTAATTTATTCATTAGTATTTAAAAACTGTGTGATGTGTAATCACAACTTTACAATAATACTTAGCGCTTCAAAATATAAAAAGTTTTTTTTTGAAAATATCAAAATCAAAAATGTTTGGAATTTCTTGAAAAAAAATTTGAATATTTTTTTATTCCTCGTACATAAAAATGACGCTTTTTGATATCTGACGACAGGGAGAAAAGTAATTCAGTTTTCTCTCATATAAAAATAGCGTCCATTTGCGTTATTTGCGCATGAGGAAAATATGAATAAAATACATGAGGGGCCAATTTTTTCATACTTCTTTGGCGATATCATTTTTAAAAAGGTTTTAAATGAATTTTTCTCTATTATAAACGAAATTAAAGATTTATAAAGAAACCTTTTTTTATTTGGTACAGAATCCTCCTCCTTCTAACTTATTATTTAAATAGTGAGGAGAGAGTTAATTAGATGGGATTATTATTAGATTATTATTTATTAGATAGGAATGACTTTAAAAGGTGTTAAATGATATTAAACAGAATGTTCAGTAGTGGAAACTGTGTATGGTTTTAATGAAATAAAATTTTTATATATTTAATTTTTTAAATATACAATAAACATATTTATTTATTCACGAAACAAACAACATACAATCTTTAACAATTTAAAAATCTGTGAGAATAATTTTGCGCAGTACAAAAAAAGAAGTTGGCTATTGTTGAGAGAGCTCAACTTCTGATTAAGGTCAGAAAGATAGTGATTTTCCTTTTTGGTTTTGACTAACTGAAACCTGATGTCGAAGACTTTAAAAACCTGAACCTTTTCGATAGTTTCCGAAGTTACAATTTCGAAAAGAGGGAGAATATTTGTAGATAGAAATTCGCGCATAATGAGTCATAAAAATAGGTCTGGCGGTCGCGCCTAACTCGTATCCTAATCTCTTACCCTCAATAAAGTTTATGAATCGAATAGACTTTAAGAAGGATTATCGTAATAAACTCAACACATTTGAAATACTTTTTAAACTTGTGGAAATTCCCGCAAGTACATAGATAAATATTCAGCGTTTTTGGCAATTATAAGAAAGAACATATTGAGTAAAAACATCTGCTGTACAAATCGTTGGAAAATAATAAAAGAGAAAGTGAGTCCTTTACTACAAATATCGTCGTACATTTTGAGTTTCTTTAAAATTTACTGAAAATATTTCATTAGTTACAAATAAATGCAATTTAAAAATTAATTTTTATGATACAACTAAACACAGAATTACAAGTAATTATAATGTATTATCCTCTTTTTCAAAACTCTTATACATGTAAGGTTTACCTCCTTTTCATTGTTTTTGTTTTCTTTAGCTAGTAGTATTAATAATCAGGACCACAAAGGGTAATGAAGGTGGACATGTTCTAAGCATAGGTGATCTTTATGTTTTTGGGGTCGCTAATTACGATGCCGGTGTCCGTATAAACCCATCACGTCAGCATCAAGGTCAAACACCTCATTTTGCAATATTTAATTTTTTTGACCTCGAATTCTGAAAGAGCAGAAAATTTTACGTCCGAATACGTTTTAAACTTTTTTATGAACCAACCTTTCAAGGTCAATTGGAGGTAATCTAGAAGGTCAAATTTTGATTTAATTCTCTTGTCCAGAAAGTTAGCTAGTTATGGATTTTAATACAAATTGCTTTTTATGTTTTTAAGGTCAATGATTTCGATCCAGGTGTCCATATGAGTCCATTTTGTCAGCATCAAGATCAAAAACCTTAATTCGAAATATTTAATTTTTTCAACACCAGACCAAGATGACCTTGAATTGACCTTTAAAGATTGGTTCATAAAAATTGTCAAAAAAATTAAATTTTGCAAAATGAAGTGTTTGACCTTGAATTGACCTTGATGCTGACGTGATGGTATTATACGGACACCGGCATCTTAATTAGCGACCCCAAAAACATATAGATCACCTATGCTTAGAACATGTCCACCTCAATTTCCCTCTGTGGTCTGTGTAATATTTATGTTTGATGAGTGTATGATTATAACAAAATTAACTTTTCTCACTGATCTATGTAATAACTGGATTGCGGATGGGCTGCCAAAATTTGTGACTAATTGAACACATTGAACACCGCGAAAAAGAAAATGTTCTTTTTTCGACGACTGTGGCCCTCAAGTGTTCAGAAACATTCATTTCAGTGCTAACCGGCTGTACCGCTAAATTTTGAAGGGATGCTTCAAAAGCCAAGTAGTCCAACAGGAAATATGTTTGTGTTAATAATTTTAGCTCCATGGATAAGTATTTTATGTAAAGTAGCAGGCATAGGGCACCATTTATAGTTTTTGACATAGATTTTGGCAGTAAACTCACATTTGTCAAATTTTGAAGCATCTGTAGGAAGTTGAATAGAAAGAGCAAGTAGAATTGTCTTAAATTGGCATAATAATTGAGAATCAAGTCCAAGACACTTAGACAACAATTCTGGATTTTAAAAAGCTCCACGAGCTGTGTTTCCATCATTAGTGGTACCATAACCTACTGGCTTAGGTTTATCTACGATCAATCCTAGGTTTTCCCATAGAATTGCTTGGTTTTTTGTTTTTCTCGTAGCAAACGATGATTTGTTCATAACAGACTTCATTTGACAAGTTTAAACATCGAGTTTAAATCCTGATTCAGGCATGTAAAGGACTTAATCCATACACTAGTGACTTTGGATTTGGTAAGAAAAGGCCTGTTTGTTTATTACTTAAGTTATTAAAAGATTTTGGTGTTACGTGACAAATTAGGCAGGTTTGAATTGATTTTCGGCCCGTAATAATATTTAAAACTTTTCCGTCGTTTAAAATTATAAATAAAGTACATATTCTATTGCAAGTGGTCGACAGAATCTTGAAAATTGAGGTATTCTGTTATTTCAAAAAACCACACTTTCGGACGTTATTAGTCGTAGCGGAATGGGCGTCATGGCAAATAATTAATCATCTTTCTGATTTGTATTTTTGTTCAATGATTTGTAATTTTCTTCATAAGGTGAATGATCTCTACTCTCATCAAACCCATAAGAACACATTAAAGCAGTATCTATAATATTAACTTCTACTTCAGTTATATAATGCATTATTACCTCCTTCTGCAAATATACAATTCAAGTTATTGTATGTTTCAACAGATACTAAAGAGATACTTCTGCTCTTGTCTCGCTAATAGAAACATTTTGTACTGGAGGTCTACATTGTAGCTTCATTTTGCTGACTTGATTCAGTCCACACCACATTTTTTTACTTCCAATCGAATGTTGGTATAAACAGCTTTCGATAAAGAGTTATTAAATAACAAAGCTAAAGCTTCCTCAGGACTCTTTTTACAGTTGCTGTTTCCAACATTTTACGAATCTTTTTTGGTAGTTCTGTAGATTTTAGAATGTGTATAATGACCGAATATAAATCTCGATTACCAGACCTACTCGCTGCTTGACGACAAGCTGTTTACAATGCTAGTGGACTTTGTTTTTCATACGGATCAAAAGTTTGCTACTTCTCGTCGCTTGGACCGTTCAGATTTATCTTTAAATTCAAGCCTCGGACGACCACCAGCAACAGAATTTGCGACACTTTTATTTGCTTTATTAAGATTAACAATTATTTCAGGAATAGAAAATGAAGAGTTTAGACAGTCTTTTTTTATTCAAACCGGGTTTTAATTTTCTTAACAGCCTGAAGAATCTCCTTTTTTGCCAATTCTGACATTTTAACTATCTTAATTTTCAATATAATCTATTAAATAGTATTAAAAAAAATCGGACAATTGCGAGTTGCACTCGCACTAAAATCGAGAGTTCCGTATACCAAAATTAAACTCGTTTTTAGGGTTTCGTACACCGTAGGTGTACTGACGGAACCCTTATGAAATCACTAGTGTGTGCATCCCAGACACTCAAAATAGGCTGCCCCCCTGAACTTCTACATATCTCAAACTGGTGAGCCAAAATTCGGTACAGATACATATTTTCACGTCTAGATTACAGGAAAAATATAGCTAACCCGATTGAAAGTCATGGTTACGAACTAGCACTGAATGAAATCTATTTTTTTAGAAAAAATTACGACAAATGACCCTGTTCCCCCACCTTAACTTCTACATATCCTGACCTAGTGAGCTAAAATTCGGTAGACATACTCAATTTTAAGTGTAGATTACAGAAAAAATATAACAAACATGATTGGCTGTCATATTTGTGAACTAGAAAGGAAATAAATGAAATTTTTTCAAAAAAATTTCAAAAAATGACACTGTCCCCCCCTTAACTTCTGGATATAAGGACTTGGAGAGTTGAAATTCAGTGCACATACTCATTTTTACGTGAAGATTACGGGAAAAATAAAGCGAACCTGATTTGGGGTCATATTTACGAACTAGAAAGGAATGAAATTTAATTTTTTCGAAAAATTGTCAAAAAACGATCCTGTCCCCATACTGAACTTCTACATATCGTCATAAAATTCGGTATACATTTTCATTGTTAATTGTAGATTTGGGGAAAATTTTGGCGAATCTGATTGGGGCTTATATTTACGAACTTTCTTAATTCGCATATATTACTTTCAATCAATCATATTTGTTCCCCATATATCTTTGTCTCAAAAACGAGTTTAATTTTGGTGTACGGAACCCTCGATTTTAGTGCAAGTGTAACTTGCACTTGTCTGATTTTTTTATACAAAGATATATGGGGAATAAATATGATTGATTGAAAGTAATATATGCCAATTAAGAAAGTTCGTAAATATGACCCCCAATCAGGTTCGCTAAAAGTTTCCTAAAATCTACAATTGAAAATGAAAATGTGTACCGAATTTTAGCCCAATAGCTGACGATATGTAGAAGTTTAGTATGGGGACAGGGTCATTTTTTGATATTTTTTCGAAAAAATTAAATTTCTTTTTTTCATAGTTCGCAAATATGATCTCCAATCAGTCGCTATATTTTTCCCGTAATCTACACGTAAAAATGAGTATGTGTACTGAATTTTAACTCTCTAAGTCCTTATATGCAGAAGTTAAGGGGGGAACAGTGTAATTTTTTGAAATTATTGAAAAAATTTGATTTATTCCCTTTCTAGTTCGCAAATATGACAGCTAATCAGATTCGCTATATTTTTCCTGTAATCTACACTTAAAATTGAGTATATGTACCGAATTTGAGCTCACTAGGTCAAGATATTATGCAGAAGTTAAGTTAAGGGGACAGGATCATTTGTCGTAATTGTTTCCGAAAAAATGGATTTCATTCAGTGCTAGATCGTAACCATGACTTTCAACGGGTTCGCTAATATTTTTCGAGACGCATGCTTATTCCCGAAATCTTTTTTAACCAAATAGTTATTTGATATAAAACTACAGTACCGTCCGAAATTGTCAGTCCACCCATTTTCAAAGGAATGACAAAATTTTTTTAACATAAAATTCATGAAAAGTAAAATTTTTTTTGGTTTATATTTTGAAAGACGATAAAATTTTGAAAAGAATAAGACCTTACAGAAGTCATTTGGCCAAAATTTGTAGAAGATATTCTTAAAAATCGTCATTTTCAATGTTTTACAAAAATTTGAATAACTTCTAAAATAATGAACGCTTTTTAATAATCTTAGGCTTATTTTAAAGACCATTTTCTACAGAATAAGAATTACTTATAGGCATTAACCTGTCATTTTTAACTTGGAATAAGCATGACGTCAAAGTTGGACAAAAAAATTCAAAAAATTTGAAATAATATTATTAAAAGAAAAATAATTTTTGAAATTCAAACATATATTTTTATTAAATTTTCTTGAAAAATCTACACCATATCATGTTTTATATATGTTCTAGAATAGTTTTTAGTACAAAAAATTGATTTTAAATTTTTCCAATTTTTTTGTCCAATTTTGACGTCATGCTTATTCTAAGTTAAAAATGACAGGTTAATGCCTATAAGTAATTCTTATTCCGTAGAAAAAGACCTTTAAAATAAGCCTAAGATTATTAAAAAGCGTTCATTATTTTAGAAGTTATTTAAATTTTTGTAAAACATTGAAAATGACGATTTTTAGGAATATCTTCTACAAATTTTGGCCAAATGACTTCTGTAAGGTCTTATTCTTTTCAAAATTTTATCGTCTTTTAAAATATAAACCAAAAAAAATTTTAGTTTTCATGAATTTTATGTTAAAAAATTTTTGTCTTTCCTTTAAAAATGGGTGGACTGACAATTGCGGACGGTACTGTACTTAACTTAAAATTCACATAATATGCACATTATTTGACATAAATTTCATTGCACACAAAAACCATTTAACATAAATATCATTTGTCATAGAATTCATTAAACAGAAATAATATGTTACATAAAACTCAGATAACTTAATTCCCATTTGACATAAAAATTATGTAACATAAATTTCTATTGACATAAAAAGCATTTAACATAAATTTCTTTTGACATAAAACTCATTTAACGTAAATTTTATTTGTTATAAAATTCATTTGACATCAATTTCATTTGACATAAATGTCATTTAACGTAATTCTCATTTGACATAAATATCATTAGACATAAAATTAGCTTGACATAAATTTTATTTGACGTGAATATCATTTAACATAATTATTATTTAACGTAAAATTAAATTTATATAAATTTCATTTAGCATAAATTCTATTTAACATAATTCTCATTTGAAATAAAATATACTTGACATAAATTTCATTTGGTATAAATCCCATTTAACATAATTTTTATTTGTCATAAAGTTCACTTGATATCAATTTCATTTGACGGATAAGTCATTACACATAATTCTCATTTGACATAAAATTCAGATGTCATAGATTTCATTTTACATAGAGATCATTTGACATAGAAATATAGGCGCGAATTTCAAAGTTGGCGAATCACAATATTGTTGATAATATCTAATTGGTTACATTTAAAATTGGCGCCGATGTTTTTATGTAAAATGTAATTTGAGTAAAATGATTTTTATGTCAAATGAGAATTTCATTGAATGACTTTTATGACAAATGAGAATTGTGTTAAATGTCTTTTATGTCAAATGAACTTTATATCAAATGAAAATTATGTTAAATGGGATTTATACCGAATGAAATTTATATCAAGTAAATTTTATGTCAAATGAGAATTATGTTAAATGGCATTTATGCTAAATGAAATTTATATAAATTGAATTTTACGTTAAATAATAATTATGTTAAATGATATTCACGTCATATGAAATGTATGTCAAGCTAATTTTATGTCTAATGATACTTATGTCAAATGAGAATTACGTTAAAAGACATTTATGTCAAATGAAATTGATGTCAAATGAATTTTATAACAAATAAAATTTACGTTAAATGAGTTTTATGTCAAAAGAAATTTATGTTAAATGCTTTTTATGTCAATAGAAATTTATGTTACATAATTTTTATGTCAAATGGGAATTAAGTTATCTGAGTTTTATGTAACTTAATGAATTCTATGACAAATGATATTTATGTTAAATGGTTTTTGTGTGCAATGAAATTTATGTCGAATAATGTGCATATTATGTGAATTTTAAGTTAAGTAGTTTTATATCAAATAACTATTTGGTCAAAAAAGATTTCGGGAATAAGCATGCGTCTCATATTTTTTCTATAATCTAGATGTGAAAATATGCATCTGTTCCGAATTTTAGCTCACCAGGTTGAGATATGTAGAAGTTAAGGAGGGGCAGCCTATTCTGAGTGTCTGGGACGGACACACGAGTGATTTTATAAGGGTCAGTACACCTACGGTGTACGGAACCCTAAAAATAATTATTTTCTTCTGGAAATACAAAATTTATTAATAAATATTTTAGAATTCGGCATTTAAGAGAAATTCAGTAGTTAATAATGTCAATTAGTGAAAAGAAACAGAAATAAAATAGTTGAAATTCATAAAATAACAACAAAACAATTGTTAAAGCGCTGAAATTATCTATAAACAAATCTGTCAAAAAAAATATAAGTGAACACGAATTTTTTAATTGCAATATTTAAATGAAGTAAATGTAAACGATCAAAAATGTGCTGAAGAAACATCTTCTTTAACAAATGCATTTTTTTACTAAAAACTTTTTCTTAATTCAGAATGATGTTGAGGTACACTCTCACCTCACTGCCTGCCTGCCTGCGCAGGCAGGCGCAATGAGAGTGAGAGAGAAAAAACATTTAATTTGAATTTTCTGACTCTCTTACTCTCATGCGTTACCGTGACAACCTGCAGGCAGGCAGGCAGGCAGTAGGAGCTGTGCTAGCGCCTTTATTGTACAATAAAATCCTATTCTGTATATGAAAAATTTCTATTCTTTTCATCAAGACAAATCGATTGATCGGCAATTTTATTTACTTGTATATTGAAAATTTCTATTTATTACTTGTTTTATTTTTTCAGATACAAGGCATTGAAAAAGTAAGTATATTGACAAAAAGGATACTAATACCAAATATAAGGACTATAAATTTGCATCTATCTTTTCATACATTTAACATATGTTCATTAGGGTGGCCCAAAAATGCATTGTTAAAAAAAATTTTTGTGGAAAAAGCAAGAAACCCCCGCAATTTGTTCCAATGCCAAAAAAATTGATACATTAAAAAAATATTAATATTAACACGTGCCACCGATCATTTCAAATTTCCTATGTAAAATGCATGGGAGAAATTTAAATTTTCGAAAAATCTGTTACATCCTGTAAATTTTTAACCTTTATTATTTTTTTCTCACACATAAAAACACATGCGTACAAATTAACCAAAAAGGACTTCACTATGTAACATTAAACAGACTAGACAAATTTCTAGGTAATCTCTTTTTAAAAAAAACTTGTTCTCTCACAACTTTATTGCTCACAGATGACACCGTAAAAAGGGCAGTTTCATATTTCCTTTTTTAACGGTCAACTCTAACCTTGCTAAAAAGGAAATGCTTTCTCGAACAAAAATCAAAAGTTTTTCCAAATGTTAAAGGAAACCATAAATTGAAATATAACCTCTGACCCGATGACTAAAAAACAGTCTTTTTGGGAACACCGCTGAGAGCAATAAAGAAAACAGACACTACACATGAACACAAAATACTTTTAAAATGAAAAACAAATTAAATTAATAACTGAAAATATTAAAAATTATCATGAATATTTTTTATCGTAAAAGAGAAAACATCAAGTATTTTAATAATAAGAATTATATCTTTTTTTTCCTAAAAATTCTTTTTAATAATAAAACTTAAAAGGCATAGTAAATATTGACTAGATAATTTTTATCCTGTTAAAGCTTGATATTTTCCGAAAACTATTACAATAAATGCAGTAAATATCTGGAAGCTATAAATCTTAAGAGAGATATAGAATTTAATATCTCAAAAATTGTAAATAACTTTCTCTCCAGTATTTAAAGTTCTCATAGACGTATTCTACAATGCCCTTTGTACCACAGTATCGTAAATCATAAGATTCAAAACTTAAGTAAAGAACCTACGCACCGACCCTAAGCAATATATATATATTATACACTATAGTAAATACACCTGAAATAATTTCTAACCCTAGGTGTATTCCACGTCAGTTCAACACAAAAAATTTTATTAGGTTTTGGGATTCGGTTGAAATTAAGTAGATTATATCCTCTGGTGGTAATAAATAAAATCCCCAAGCGATTTTAAAAAATTTCAAAAATTGGCAAACATATTGGATTTTTAATTTTTTTGTACTTTAATGAAAGTACGAGTTTTTATTAACCCTAGAACTAAAATATGATTTTTTTATAGACTAACGAAAAACTGAGGTGGTTTGGTACCCCAGATTTGAAACAATTGTAAAAGGTTACCTTTTTTGTAATTTTTTTAATTTCTCAACAATGTGGCTAATTTGAAAAAATTAAACGGATTTTAAAAGGTAAATAAAGAAAAACTGTAAGACCTCGGAAACTCCCCCGTAAAAAATAGAAACCTCCTTTGTAATAAATAATTTTTATTCTATTTTAAAATCATTTAACATTTGTATATATTGTAAATAATATTTAAATTTTCAAGTTGCCTTAATCAAAATAAAATTGTCTCTATTTACCTTTTAAAATCCGTTAATTTTTTCAAATTAGCCACATTGTTGACAAATTAAAAAAATTACAAAAAAGGTAACCTTTTACAATTGTTTCAAATCTGGGGTACCAAACCACCCCAGTTTTTCGTTAGTCTATAAAAAAATCATATTTTAGTTCTAGGGTTAATAAAAACTCGTACTTTCATTAAAATTCCATTTACAATCGTGCGGCATTAAAACTGAGCGCTACAGGGCTATGCGAGGATTTACGTTTTATTTTTTTTCTCAAAAACTACTGGCTGTCCCACGATGAAAATTTTAGGACAAGTTCAACACATTTATGGCTACAAATTGTAAAAAAATGATCAAAATTGAAGGTAGCATATTTTTTCTATGGCTTTTCAAAAAATTAAATTAATTTTTTAAACAAAAAATTTAAATAATTTTTTTAATTTTAATTTTTTAAATAAAAGTATATTTCAATACGAACAATTTAAGAGGTCATAAACTAAAATCCGTTAAGAACAAGCAGAGATATATATTTTTCAAAAAAAAGTACAAAAAAATTAATAGTCTAATATGTCCGCCAATGTTTGAAATTTTTTAAAATCGCTTGGGGATTTTATTTATTACCACCAGAGGATATAATCTACTCAATTTCAACCGAATCCCAAAACCTAATAAAATTTTTTGTGTTGAACTGACGTGGAATACACTCCAAATTTCTGGTCAAAAAAACGAAAAACAACAAAAATAATAAACTTAACTAAATAATAGAAAAACAGTAACCAATTAAAAATAATAAATTGTAAATAAATAGAAAATTACAAAAATTACTATTCACTCTATTATTAAATAAAATAACCAAGAAGGTTTTAATATAGTAAATAACTAAATTCTTAAGAATTAAAATTTAATAAATACTAATTATTACTCATAATTATTAAAACAACAAAGAATAATAATTATTATTGATAAACAATATAAACAATACCTAAAATAAGTAATTAATCAAAATTAAATAAATAAGAAACATCTACGAAAGATTAAACTCTAAATAAAATTAGTAATTGTTATTTAATAAACATTAAACAATTTGTAATTATAAAAATTGTAAAATAATTAAGATCAACAAGTTAAAATTATAAACAAAATTAATTGTTAAACAACAATTTTAGAACATGACCCTAAAAATTACGATAAAATTATAATTCAAAAAATTATAAACAATTAAACTACGCTATAAAAATTAATGTAAAATTATTATTAAGTAGATTTATAATAACATTTTGTAAAAATCCAAAAACGTGAAATAATATCGCTACTTAACTTAATATCAAAAGATAAAATCCTTACTCTCTAGAAATAGACACTGACCTAGGGTACGTCCCCTTAAGTCACAACCTACAATAATGGGATGGGTCTCGAAGGCCCAATCCTAAAACGACAGATAAAAATTTCTTTGCTTTTCTCCATTTTCTTTCTACCATTTTCTTCCGGAAAACCAATCCTCAAATTATCCATCCCCTTTTACCATCTCTCTAAAAGTATTTTCCTAAAATTTAGAAACTCCCAAAAATCCTAGTGGGGACAAACCTTTAAAAACAGCATTTCAAGAGGATGGCATGTCAATCTCAGTATTCATACACAGTTCAATACAACTCAAACTCAGTTCTCAATCTAATTTCCAAGTTCAAGTCTTTTTGAGAGACGCATGCATATCCCCTAATCGCCAAGTCGTCGAATGATCAAATAGTCGAATGCTAAGTAATCGAATAGACAAAACGTCAAATGCTAAAAACATCGAATCGGCATTTAGTCAAATGCTAAAAACATCGAATTGTCAATACGTCGAATGTTCAAAACGTCGAATTATCAATTCGTCGAATGTTAAAAACATCGAATCGTCAATACGTCGAATGTTCAAAACGTCGAATTATCAATTCGTCGAATGTTAAAAACATCGAATCGTCAATACGACGAATGTTCAAAACGTCGAATTATCAATTCGTCGAATGTTAAAAACATCGAATTGTCAATACGTCGAATGTTCAAAACGTCGAATGATAAAAACGTCGAATGCTAAAAACATCGAATGGACAAAACATCGAATGCTAAAAACATCGAATCCTCATTTAATCGAATGCTAAAAACATCGAATTCTCAATTCGTCGAATGTTTAAAACGTCGAATCGTCATTTAGTCGAATGGTAAAACCATCGAATAGTCCATTCGTCGAATGCTCAAATAGTCGAAACGCCATCTGTTCGAATTATCAAGTAGTAGAATGGTAAATTTGTCGAATGTTCAAAACGTTGAATCGTCATCTGTTCGAATTGCCAAGTAGTAGAATGGTAAAGTAGTCGAATGGACAAAAAGTCGAAACGCCATCTGTTCGAATTATCAAGTAGTAGAATGGTAAAGTTGTCGAATGTTCAAAACATCGAATCGTCAAAAGATCGAAAAAGTTCTATGTTTTAAGTTAATGTCTACTGAAAACAAAGAAGTTTTTCGAACTTTTGACGATTCGATGTTTTTAGCATTCGATGAATTGACAGTTCGAAGTTCTAAGCATTCGACGTTTTTATCATTCGACGTTTTGAACATTCGACGAATGGAAAATTCGATGATTTAAGCATTCGATGAATTAACAATTCGATGTTTTTAGCATTCGAAGAATTGACGATTAGATGTTTTTATCATTCGACTAAATGACGATTCGATGTTTTTAGCATTCGACGTTTTGAACATTCGACGTTTTTAGCATTCGACGTTTTAAACATTCGACGTTTTGAACATTCGACGAATTGAGAATTCGATGTTTTTAGCATTCGATTTAATGAAGATTCGATGTTTTTAGCATTCGACGTTTTGTCCATTCGATTACTTGGCATTCGACTATTTGATCATTCGACGACTTGGCGATTAGGGGATATGCATGCGTCTCCACTTTCCGTATTATCCAAGCTGCACCTCGGATAATGCGGATTGGTCAGAGTGCAACGGGTGCCTCGGATAACCCGGAAGCTCGGATAAGCGAAGGTCAAATAAGCGGGATTCTACTGTATTGACAATTCGATTTTTTGAGCATTCGACAAATTGATAATTTGACGTTTTGAACATTCGACGAATTGAGAATTCGATGTTTTTAGCATTCGATTAAATGAAGATTCGACGTTTTGAACATTCGACGAATTGAGAATTCGATGTTTTTAGCATTCGATTAAATGAAGATTCGATGTTTTTAGCATTCTACTAAATGACGATTCGATGTTTTGAACATTCGACAACTTTACCATTCTACTACTTGATAATTCGAACAGATGACGTTTCGACTTTTTGTCCATTCGACGAATGGACTATTCGATGGTTT